AGTGAAAGCGGGTCCTCTGCTGCTGGAGATTTGCTTCTGGTTATGAGTATGCTGATTGCTTTGTGGAGGTTTAATACACTCATATCGAGCTGAAAACAGCGTAAGCAAAGGAGAAGAAATGATTAGAGGTCATTTGTCTTCTGATCCTGACCTTGCTACAAGATTTTCTATCACCAAGGACAATTTGCTTCCTTTGTAAAATCCGCTTAGTATTTCTGATCCCTAAAGCAGTTAGAAAGCTATTTGTCAATCACTTCGGAAGACTGGGAGATTCTGGACTGATTTATACTGGAGTGTGAAGTATAATGAGTAGCTGTAATAAAGACAGTGCAAGGCAGACAAATGCTGTTTTTAGCAGCATACTTGGATATGTCTTTTAGGGTTTGCTATGGGGTGAAAAGGGTGGATCCTCTCATTGTGGCAGAGGGTAAGGATTGCATTTGTTAAGAGCATCTCTAAATGGACTCCTATCTGGTAATGTTATAGTTTAAGATCCACTGAAGCATTTGTTGGGCTTCTGTTATCTGGAAAAAAAAAAAAAAGAATTATTTCTGATCTAGATTAAATGTGTAGTTTATTAACCAAATTGCTCTTCCCAGAGTATTCAGGATTTTTCCAGATAAACATCTTAGAAAAAGTCCATTAAGCCACTGTTTCCAGGAGGAAGCTGCTGTGTGGAAAGTACTAGGAAGTTCCTACTGTGAGCAGTTTACAACCTGATTGCAGGGAGTTCTCCCCATAATGTTTGTGTTTGAACAGCATTTACACAGTGGGGCTTTCATCCTGTTTAGGTCTCTAGTCACTGCTAGGTTAAACATATCCTCCCAGCACCCTATTGTTCTCTGGACACTTTCTGACATGTCAATATTTTTCTAATAACATAATGTCTGGGACTTCAAGCATTACTTCAGGTGTTGTCATGACCAAGCTATGTGGAGATAGTTGCTTGTTTTCTGTGTCTTGCATCATTCTCACAACAGGGTACGTTAGCCCTTCTCACTGTCACATTACTGTGCAAAAAAACCGAATTTGGAATTCAGTTACCTAGATTCTTTCAGCAGACCTGCTTTCTTGGTCTTTTCACGCAAAACATTTGAATAATTATGTAAATATTTTAGCTTCCCAATATTGTTTTTTTCCCTGAGTCTGATGTGATTAATCTGTATCTTAATTTCGTGCAGTTGTGTCAGAATGTTTTAGTTAGTGTGATGCTGAGAACAGCTTGATAGCTAGCTGACGGGATCTGTCACAGCCTGCAGGGTTATGGCCAAGAACTCTGATACGGGCTTTCATTGTGGGTGGTTGTCATGCAGACCGCAGCTTGTCTTGCTCTCTGAAGACGACATTGTCAGCATCAGTGCAGTTAAAGATGACTTGGAATAATGTTTGTGCAGTTTAAGTCTGTGATTTAAGCCAGGCTTTGCGATGTGGAAAAGAGAAGGGCAGTCTTTAATCCTTTAGGATTGGATTTCGATTCATTTGAGATCTCTTCAAAGTAAGGCGCTGTGGTGATTACGTATAGTTCACTTTGCTTCCATGCCCCAGCTAGGAAGCAAAGCTTTAACAATTTCTCATTCCATTGACGTGATGGCCCTTTTATATCATCATTGAAGTTTCAGAAGGCATCCTTCTGAAATGTGCTTAGTCTTAATGCTAATAAATGAGTATTTTAATAAAATACTTTCTTTTAAATATGACTTCTTACAGGTGCAACTTGTTGGTTTGGATGAAGAGAGCTCAGAATTCATTTGCAGGAACACCTTTGATCACCCCTACCCCACCACAAAGCTTATGTGGATCCCAGACACCAAGGGAGTATATCCAGACCTGTTGGCAACCAGCGGTGACTATCTGCGGGTGTGGAGAGTGAGTAAATCCTCCCTAGAAAAAGATGAACCAGGATATTAATTGCGTTGCGTATTGATCTCATTTTCACTCGAGACCAGGTTTTTCTGAAGTGGGTTATTTTCCTTTCAGGGTGTCTTGCTGTTGATACAGTGTGGAGGTGAAAACATAGAATCAAGTCAGAGCACTTGATAATTTGTTTTCTTAACTGCAGTAATGTGTCTAAATATGAAGACTATAGGAGAAGCAGAATTATCGTGGTAGTTGCTGTTTTAATCACTTTATTGGAGATAGAGATGGTGATTGTGTTTTCCAGAGCTTTAGGATGTAAAGCTGAGAGGCAAGAAGCCCAGGATTAGGATGTTGTGTTTTGGAAGTGCAAGTGGAACAAGTCAGGTGATGTTGCTATTTCAGTCGGATGTTTCACTTTTTTTAAAGGTGGGTGAAACAGAGACCCGGCTGGAGTGTTTGCTGAACAATAACAAGAACTCTGATTTCTGCGCTCCACTAACATCCTTTGACTGGAATGAAGTGGATCCTTACCTTCTAGGTGAGACTGTCAAAATGCGACACTTTCAGCATGGAAAAAACACATTTTTGTATTTAGTCTGGTGGAGTTCGGGCTCTGACTGACTCCTGTGTCATTGCATGTGACTGGTTAATCTGATAACTAACCAGAGGAGAAATTTCTACACCGTAGTAACTGCCATTGTCTTAGGTTACAAAAACAAAAGTTAAAAAAAAAAAATCAAGCAGCTCATGGAGACTTTTTTGCATTGAAAGGTTCCCTGTCCAGTCCAGAATCGGTCACTTAGGCTGGGTTGGGGGTGTTCCTTACCTGCACCCAGAGAGTCAGTCTTCAGGGCTGGTGAGCTGTTTCTGCAGAGCTCAGTAATGATCTAAATGAACTCCTGTGACTTATTTCAGTGTGTTCTGGAGTAGTTAGAAAACTATGTTCCAAGCTTTGTCTTTTGGGAGACCATTTCAGCAGCAGGAGTAAAGCCAGGAGCCTGGAATACAGTTGGAAGAGGGGGCTGAATGCTTAAGGTTTAATTATAGCCTATGGGACAAATTGTGAATCCAAGATGACTGATCCAACAGAGATTTTTTCCCAGAAGAGTGCAGCCATTTTTGTCAGGGGGATTTGTCCAGAGATTAACTGTGATAATATGTCTTAGTAATTATTTACTACATGATTTATCTTTTGTGTGTTGTATCTCTCATCTCTTAAGAGCTTTACTGCTAGCCCCACCTTCAGTCCACAGAAACAATCAATTAATAATAATAATACACTATCACAACACTATGATTGAATTTTGGTTTTGACACGCACATGAGATTTACAGGATGGAAAGGTTAATCTCAGAGTTGCATCAGGCTTCAGAATAGATTGAAGTAGACGTGAGCTATTTACACTTTATTCCTGTGTGGAAGACTGTTTCCGCAGCTAAAAGGTTTGGGTCATTTGAATGTGTGGTAGACTGTCAGCTGTTTGACATTCTTGTTTTTAATTGTGCCCTGTTTGTGTAGCTGTTTTGTTCTGTAGATATTGGAGGGTGTTACATTAATGCTGTAGGTGATTAAATAATTTGTTATAATACTAATTCTGCTAACAGCAGTCGTTTTGTTTCAGGTACCTCTAGTATTGACACAACCTGCACTATTTGGGGTCTGGAGACAGGACAGGTTCTGGGAAGAGTAAATCTGGTCTCTGGCCATGTGAAGACCCAGCTTATTGCGCATGACAAAGAGGTGATGGATTTTTTTGGTCGTTTATGTTGCATGTTTTTTAAGCAGTAGAAAAGGAACAGAACTTTTCTGGTTTCCTTCTTCTTCTTGAAAAATCAAATGTTCCAAAAACATAATTTATCTAAGATCAAGATATACAATTTTGAGTGCCAAACTAAAACTGTTCCACTGGCTGTCAAAACTGCTGTTTACTCCTCATAGAGTCTGAGCTTGAGAATATGTTTGTTTTACTAGATTATGCTCCAGAATATTGTAGAAAAATGAGGTAAAACGTCAAACTGGAATTGAAATTAACCGCATGTCAAAAGGCAATAACTATAAAATTCTTTAATTTTAGCGTAATACTACTTTTCAGCAATTAATATAAAAAAAATCAGAATCTGGGAAATTGATACGTTTAGTTTCAGTGAATGATCCTATGACATAACCCTCTTTGAGTTTTTTTCCCTTCATTTTGGCAACTGTAATAACTAAAAACTTGCTAGGAGCAGCTAGTATTTAACAGAATATGTCACAACTAGATCTGCTATCCATATGTAAAATCCATTTTGCTGTGAATTAGAGGGCAGTGTGCTCACTAGCACTAAGGTGATGTTTTTCTCTGTCGTGTTACTGAGCAGGTGTATGACATAGCATTTAGCCGTGCAGGTGGTGGGAGAGATATGTTCGCTTCAGTGGGTGCAGATGGCTCGGTAAGGATGTTCGACCTCCGTCATCTGGAACACAGCACCATAATTTATGAGGACCCACAGCACCATCCACTGCTGCGTCTCTGCTGGAACAAGCAGGATCCCAACTATCTTGCTACGATGGCCATGGACGGCATGGAGGCAAGGCAGCAGCTCACTATCTCTAGGCACTAGCAGTTGTGATTTTTTGGGCTGACTTTCAGTAGGAGTTAAAGTAACTTTGATGTTGTAAACTGGAAGATCACTATAGCTCATATATATTTCATCTGGTTTGTAATAGGGGTCTGTGAGCCAGCTGGGCAGTAGTTTTCACATAAAATCTTAACTGCAAGTGTTTTAGTCACCTTGTTCTTTCTCGGTTCAGTGCACAAGGCAGCATATCTTAGTTTGTCACCTGCGCTGCTTCAGGGAAGCATAATTCGTTTGCCCTCATTGCATAACTCCAAAGCCCTCCCTGTGAGGTCTGACTCCTTTTGAGACACACAGACCAGCTAGAAGCTATTCTTTTGAGAGCAGTATTTGCTTGCCAAGCGCATCCTTTGGGTAAGGGCTGTATTTATAGCCTTAGATCAAAATATTTTGTTTTCTGAAGAAAAAAAATTAAAATGTATTAATTTAGTCGGTTTTTGTTTCTGAAGGTTGTGATTCTAGATGTCAGAGTTCCCTGCACTCCTGTTGCCAGGTTAAACAACCACAGAGCGTGTGTAAATGGAATTGCTTGGGCACCTCATTCTTCCTGCCACATTTGTACAGCAGGTAAGCGTGATCCATCCCTACCCCGCTGCATTGCTGAATCTCTGGGAGTCTTTCCCTGCATTTGCAAAATCCTCTCTCCAGAAGTCTATGCAGTTCTCTGCCTGCCTTTTGCTAAGGAATTCCTGCGGTTTAGAAGCCCTTTATTAATGACTTTCCTAAAATTTTTATGGAAATGGAGACACACTGGAGCTCACTGTGTGCAAGTAGTGAGCTGGTGCCCAAACCATGCATCTGCTTTGGCTAAGCTATAGTATTTTAATGCTCCTTGTTTTTTTTGCAATCTAGTTCTTAAATGTTTTCAATTTGAATGAGTGGCACTCATCACTTGTTTTTTAGCTCTGTCCTGGATAATGTGTGATGATCCAGGATTATTTTTTTGGAGCATAGTTGTATCATTGTATTTCTGCCTTGAATACTCATGGGGACTGCAACAGCCATATCCCATCTAGCTTCTTGGACTGTTAGTCATGTATGGAGATCTCGTTGTACCTTGATTCTACTTACAATTTTCTCTTCCATTTGCAGCGGATGACCATCAGGCTCTCATCTGGGATATCCAGCAGATGCCTCGTGCCATTGAGGACCCTATCTTGGCCTATACCGCAGAGGGAGAAATCAACAATGTACAGTGGGCATCAACTCAGCCAGACTGGATAGCTATCTGCTACAACAACTGCCTGGAGATTTTGAGAGTGTAACATTACTGCTTCATGCCACATTGAGGCAGGGCTGTGTAATTTCCCCTCCCCTCTAAAGTAAGAACAATACAAGTCAAGTGGCCAGTATCTGTTGTTGCTTTGCATCTACTGTTACAAGAAACTGTTACAAGAATCAATGGCAGGTGTCTCCTGTCTCTCCAAGACTCTAAAATGCAGAGATGTGCTGAGCCTCTTGGACCTTCTGGGTTCTGGTTTTCTTTTTCTTTTTTTTTCTCAGTTAAAGTTCTGTATATTTGTTTGTTGACTGTATTAATAAGCTTGCAGGCTTTTCATTTGCTGCATATGTCCATGTGTTTGTCAGCCAGCTGAGGCAGCACATCCAACTAGTTTAATAGATGCAAGTGCAAAACAAGGTGGGGAAAAAAAGACATTGATGTTAACAGCCACCTTGGCAGGAATCTTTATCATTCCTGTTGTTGCTGCCTCTGAACTGTTTAAACATTTGTATGGTTTTTATATATTGGGCTAACTTTCTATTGAGTAAGGTTTTTCTCCCTAGTTCTTACTTTTGATATGTGATCCACTTGCGTATGCCCAAAGCAGGATCTATTTGTTGGTACAGATCACGCGAACGCTGCAGGCTCCCTGGCAGTAAAGGCCTGCCAGAATTAACTGTTGCCTTGGCTCTCTATACCTGGTGACCTGGGCAGAATTTTCTGGTGCTGTGAAGTACAAGTACTTATTGCACAATTTCTTTACACTTTTCTGATGCTAGAGGCAGTTGTTACTATGGTAGGCCTTCTTTTTAAATTATAACTGAATTTGTGTGTATCCTGCAGTTGTCTTAGCTAACAGAACAGTAAGAGGTTTCAGAAAGAAGATACATGCATGACTTAAGCTCCCTCTGAGGTAAACAACTCCTGAAAAAATGTGATTTGTAATGGACTCGGGATTGACACTTCCAATCAAGTGATTTCCCCTCGGAAGGCTTACTATCTAAACCAAAATAAAATGGTTTCACACTTTGTAGCTTGCTTGATTGGCAAATAATATGAGCAAGATTTTGTGGTTAGCTGCTTTGCCTTTAGCCTGTGTTCCTGGGAGTTCTTAAAAGGAGTTGCAAAGCAATCTTTTTTCCGAAGTTTATTTGCTTTGTGCTGACAGGTCTTGTTGAATAAGTGAGATGAGTTGGAAAAGCTGGTCCGCTATCCAAATGAAAGCTCAGAAAGAATTGATTCCCCAATGTAATGTGCAATAATGGGTTTAAAAGGAAAGAAACGTGTCAGGCTAAGATTTGGCACTTGTCATCCTCGTATCTTTTGGGGATGTGCCCAAGGGCTTCTGTTTTGAATAGTGGATCACTCAACAGTAATACTTTTCAATCAAAGCTGAGTGGATTAGGCAAGATAAAAATCTTCGTTGAAGTCTTAATCTAAGATAGCTGCTCGGATGAATGCTCCGCAGTTCTCTCCCCATGAAGACATGACAACCATGGCTGCTCTGTAAGGGCATGCCAGCTGAGTTTTGATGTAAATGTCAGAAACTATCAAAGTTGTCTTTCCACCTTAATGAGTATTCACCTGCAACTGGAGGCAGCATTATAAATAGCAGGACCCTGGCAAACTTGAATCTTGTCAGTTTATGCAGGAAAGGCAAGTTGGGAAGAGCGATTGCTGTGAAACAGTGAAGATGACACTGAAAGCGCTGTCAAATACCAAACAGAATTTGAAAAGTTTTGTCATTCTGGACATAGAAAAATAATATTCTACAGGCTGCTTCTCGACACAGAGCTCAGAAAAGCACCGCCTTGTGAATTTGATAGGAATTCATTAGGGACAGCTTTATTCCACCGTTCAAGCTCATGTTTTGTCAATGACATTCTCTGTTCAGTTGTGGGATTTTTTTGACAGAAGCTTGATTGGACTTGAAGGTCGGTTTTTCTTGTTAGCAGCAGTTCTGAGAGTAGTGTGTTCCACAGACAGGTTTGATCTCGATGTCAGAACGGTGTTAGCCAAACAATCAGCTTATCACTTTTTATAATAGCACTTCATCTTAAACTGGAAAATACTTCACTGAATGAAGTGAAAATTAGGAATTCCTTAGCAGAAGCATATAATGGCATTCACAGCTTTAGGTACTCATATAAAATATGTACACAGGCTTGTTGTGTACTGTTTAATTACAAACAGTAGGCATAATACGCTGTGTTACTAATACCTGTAATATTAGTACTTTCTGTAGTCCCCTTTATTCTTCAAAATCTCATTCTTGTGTAGATGGCATGAGTAAAAGATGAATGCATCTGTTGCTTAGCTTAAAAATACATCTTTTGCAACTGTAGAATTGTGCTTTAAAAAAGACATCAGATAATTTAGTTGAAAGTGAAGTCACTAAAAGACTCCATAGGCTAAACTAAACGGTAAATGCAGTTTATTCCTAGAGGAATATAATCTCTTACACTAAGATGATGAGAAGAGAGCATGTACAAAGGGGCTAATGGTCTGAATAGCCAGGTAGCTTTTGCTGCTGTTGGAAAACAAACCTGTTAACGAACCTGAAGAGGATCTCGTGTCAGTCCTTCCATCCATAGAACTGCTGGAAGTTCCTTTGTGGAACTGGGTGCTCATTCCAAACTTGTCAAAGGCAAGTGAAGAAATCTTGTAGGCTCTCGTGGATTCTAAATAAAGCCTGTATTCTGTTTGTTTAGCCAGTCGGGCTACCTTCTAGATCTATAACGTATTGCTTTGGGCATAATCTGTTGTCGTTCTTCATATGAAATTACATTTGAAATCACTAGAGGCTGTTTTGGAACAGGGAAATGTGACTTAAAATAGCTTCCTTTCAAAGAAGTCACTTGAAAGGTTAATGACTGAAAAGACGTGAAAATCCTCATGGGTGAGATGTTCCGTAGTGCAAATGGCACTTCCATACAGAGAAGGAAGTGAGACTTTGGTGCCCTTTTGCCAGCACCTGCTGACAGAGTGGCAGGGAGCTAAGGGTCTAGTTCAAATTTATTGATAAATTTGAAGATAAAATAAAGCCCTGAGACTTGTCAGTGTAGCCTGTGAATCAGAAGATACTGTTAACCATATTTCACCTGCTTAACATTCAATTATGTTAAGTGTAAAGCCCCCACAAGCATTATTTTTTCCAAAGTTTATGAAAATAAATACTTTGATAATTGATCTCAATTATTTTGTGCTTACTGCACAAGCAGAGGATGCAGAGCAACTGCTTTCAAATGCCTTCTATCCCTTAAGTATAAAGTAACATTAAGAGAAAAGTCTGAGCATCAGTTAGGCTAGCAAAGCAGAAAATCACATGCTATTGTTGGCACAGGCAAGACTGATTTTGGGGATGGAAATATTTTTCTCTGACTTAAGTAGTTCTGTATCACTTCTCCAGTCGATTAATTCAAGTTACTAGGCTATTGTTTGGTTGTTATGTTCTGCTTTGTTTAAACCAAACTTTCAATAGATTCCTGCTATTATGTGGCTAGCCTGTTGTTAGTACATTGGCTCTCAACCAGGAGATCTGGATGAAGTACAACTCATTAGTGAAGTGAAAACCTACAGAAAACAAGGTAGATGTTGAATCAGTGTATAGTAGGCCAACTCTGTTAATTGTCTAAATGAAATGGGGTATGGTGTGTTGCATCTATGGGAATTGTACTTCTGTGTGCAGGGATTTAAAAGGCAAGGATGTGAGTGCTTTGACAATCTGTTTAGAAAGAAAACACAGTGGTTTCAAAGAAGGATATGAAAGGAGACTGATAATACAGGTTGTTCCTTATGGAACCTTGAAATGTACTTAATGGGGGAGGCATTGCCTCTCATAAGTCAAAGTTAATGATCCTTTCAAAACTTAGCTGTAATTGCTATCCTGAATGTTCTGGATAATAGTAAAAAGATCTATTTTTGCCTCGTGTTGCAATGAGAAAGCTGCATCAGTCTCAACTGTAGATCACTGCCTGCCAGAGACTAGGTGAGGGGAGGAGTCCGATATACTGGAATTCACAGATGCTCTTGCGCTTGTTTTAAATGTAAATGAAGAAAGCTGAGTGTGTCTGTTTTGTTCTCTTGCAGATGGCACTTTAACAAGTATATTTTTGGTAAGATTAGAGGGAGAGTCATCTTTTCCTCAGCCCTTTTATGGTAGGCATTTGTCTGTGTTTTGTATAAAATGTTAAATACAACAGTCACAGAAATCCTAAACTGGTGTGGTTGTCAGGATCTAGTGCACCCTCATCTGTTTCTACTGAACACCAAAAACGTGAGCACTTGACAATGCTGTTAATGTTAAACTGAAGCTGTATTCTGAGAACGAGTCTTGCAAGGCCAACCCATGTAGTGCTGCTTGTCACCCAGAGAGTCCCTTTTGCTTTGCTTAGGACCTGGATGGTGTTTGGGAATCCTCTTTTCAACCCTCTGAATGTGATGGCAGTAGTGGCAGGTTGGTTGTGTAAAGCTGTAACTGGATCCTTTGGATGACTTATTTTTGTGACAGAAAAATTGCAGCTGTTATCTGTAAATTCCCGCAACCTAAATTAATGAACTTGTCAGTTCCTTATGTTAGTGGTGGTTTAACTCTTTTAGGCCATACTGAAAAGGATGAACGGCAGCAAGGGGAAGCTCTGGGCTCAGTAAGTCACACAGTTACAGTTCCATCAAAGTACCGAAGGGTTTAGTCTTCCCACTGCTGGTTAGAATGGTCCTACCACCTCACATCCTCTTGGTTAACACAAGCTCTCTCTCTGCTGCATACCCCCTGCTTTCTGCTGTCAGACCAATATTCCAGAGCAGGCCTGTATGTAGTGTACAGTGGACGCTAAAAGGAGGTGTCCCAAATTCATCCTGTGGATGCTGTGTCCCTGTTTCTCTTGGTGGAGAATCCAGGGAATTAACTGTATGTGGCACTTAAGTAAGCACGAGAAAGTGCTCTTTAGAGATGCAGTTCCCCCTGCTTACCCAAGAAGAGTCAGAAATGTCTCGTTCTCAAGGATATCAAGAGGAGTTTAGCATGCCCCTGACTCCCATTTTTTTTTTTTTAGGAAGAGGTCTCCAGAACTTCTGATCAGCACCTTTCACCAGCACTAAAAAACAGTAATTAAAAAGGGAACTAAATACCAATTACTGAATGCTCATCTAGTGATTCATGGCAGACTCCAGAGGCAAAGGCACTTGTGGGGCTTGCTTGCTGCTGCCTGATTTCAGCTGATAACTTTGTCGGCCAAGTATCTCCGTGGCCTTTTGTGCAGCCTCTGATACTCCCCATCAAGCTAGAATTTCCGTAATCATAAAAATTAAAAAAAAAAAAATTATCAGTGTAGCTTCTATCAGGTTTATTTCTTTTCAGAAAATTTAACAAAATGAAGAAATAAGCTATTCCCTGAAATATTGTGGCCATGAGTAGCTGTAAGCCCGTGTTCCAGCTCTCATCCCTTGGAGTTTGCTTTCCTGTTTGCAAGACATGTGACTCGGGCCTCCGCTGTTAGAGGTGAGGATGGGTTTATCGAATCTGAACAAAGGCAGAAATGCAAGAACAGGTGAATGAAAGAGTCGTAGTACAGCTGAGAAGCCATGTGTTGCTTTTTCTGACAACCTGCTAAATATGAATTATGGATTCTACTATTTAAAAGGAACCTTTTTTTTAAACTTGGGTTGCTAGCAGTGTAAAATGTAATTTAAATCTGTTGCGCCGAAGCATTTTGGTTACCAGTAGTCAAGTAGGAGATGTTTACTTTTATGTGTGTTTTCCCTTCTGCTCTTCCCATTCACAGTCCCGTTGTGGTAATTTCCTGAAGGTGTGATCTTTGTAGCATGATTGTACAAACACCCATATGAAATTCCTGACTTCTTGTTCTCACTAAAATATGTTAAAGCAATAGTAGTTTTACTTCTGTCCTTCTTTTCTCCACCTTCCCTATTGAGATTTGCAACTTTGCTACTATACTGTCCTAGAGGAATCCTAGTATCCTGCTGTTCAACAGACATACGTTGTTGACATGGATAACTGCAGTGTCCCTATATTCCTTTATTTTTATGGAGAAAATACAAAAGGTTTTGT